GTGTTTACAGTGTTTACAGTGTGTGTGTGTGTGTGTGTGTGTGTGTGTGTTACGGGACACAGTAAATGGGAGCACATAAACAAACACAGATGGAGCTTTGACTAAAAAAGCTATCTATTAAAGCTACAGCCCATGATTTAAATGTATGCAAAGGGTCTTTAAACGCAAGACTGTTAATGCTGTTAGAGGAAAAGGACGATATTTTCAATTATAATCAGAGGAGAAACATTCAAAGTGCTGATTCGTCATCTATTTGCCAAACTCCTCAGTTACATAAAGAATATGTGAATATACAATTAATTCAAAGCAGCTCCATTCTCAAAAAGAGATTGCCTGGCTGAAGCATATTTTTCGGTCTTTCTCAGAGACTGGTCAAACTCTTTGATGTATTGCTGTGTACACTATATAACAGATCGCCATGGTGTACTCACCCAAATGAGTAGACCTGACTGGGTTTCTTCATGGTCACCCAGGAACTGATGAGACAGGTGATCAAACTGAGGGAGGAGAGGGGAAGGGAGGGAAGAGAGATAGATGGAGACACAAAGACACAGAATGACAGAAGAAGGAGGGACAGGAGGAGAGAGTAAATAGGAAGAGAGACAGAGAGGTCAGCTACAGTTTAATTCTTGTTTATTTTATCTTTTATTCATCATAATCTCAGATTTAATTTTTCATGAGTGGAAATTCTCCATCAAAACATCAAACCCCCTCACAGCTGAGCAGACTTATCTCACATCTGATTGTTTTTATACGTTTAACACGTCAAAATGAACTATACATTTTATTTTCATTATTAATTCAACTGCCCGAACACAGAGCCAATTAATCAATTGTTTAGTCTATAGAATATTAGAAAATAATAAAAAATGTCCTTACAATTTCCCAGAGCCTAAAATAATGCCGTTAAAGGCCCTTGGTCTGAATGAAACTGCTCAATTTACTATCGTATCAGACAAAATGAGCAATAATGAAAATTGTTGTAACTAATAAATGAAACCAAGTGTTTCAGCTCTAATGCATAATATTTTCACAAGAATAATATTTTTAGGTATAGTGGGTAACTGGAAAATTTCCTGGACATTGACATTTATTATATTTTAGGGTTTTTATTTCTTTTTGTTCAAAAAATGTATTGTAAATGTATTAGTGCTCGGAGGTATGACCAAAATTTGTATCATGGGATTATTTAAGATTATGGGTTTCACTGTATTTATTTATTTATTTGCATGAGTAGGCCTTTATTTTGGTTTACAGTGGCTTATTGTACTGTCGGGAGTGGATATACTGAAGGCTTTGATTGATATAGGGTTTTCTTGGCCCCAGAAAATGATACAATATATGAAAGAATCCGAATGTAAACAATTTTAATGTGCAATACAGTTAAAACAGAACTTATAAAATAAAAAAGATATGCCAACAACTTTAACATTGCTTCCATTTCAATGCTAAATATTTTTAAACAGCATAAACTGACATAAAATACTGAAAATATTCAAGTATTCAAGGAGATATTTCTCAAATATTGTTTCAGCTGTTTCAGCTGTGCACTGCTATACTTGTATATAGAAAGTTCATATAATATAGGAAATCAAAACCGGTATCATCCAGTATATCGCCCAGCACTAATTGATATGAACAATATTTTGGGGAAAATGCTAGTAAGAGAAACTTATCATGTTTCCTTAGAGGAGGACACACTCACCTAAAGAGGTCGAAGATGGTGAGGTACGTGTAGGCAGTTAAGGCTGAAATGACAAAACAAAGGAACAAAGACTGTCACAGTTCAAATACAAGGTTTGGCATTGTAAAGACAACCCTAAGAACCAAGTTAGATATTTGATTAGTTCATTCATCATTTCGATGGTGTAGCATGATTTCAATCAACATCGATTCAAGGACGATAACTGTATCAATACAGTGAACTCTGTTGAAAGTTTAAAACAGTGTTTCAAATTGTAAACAGTGTCATATATATGTTCTGGCAATATATATTCTGCTTTAAAGGTCCACATTCTGTTATAGTATGTATGCTAGCCACAACCACTGCCACAAATGTTTGCATGTAAACTATGTATTAAAAATCGACACAGTGTTTAGTGTCAAATTAACCCTTGTGTAGTCCATGCAATTTTAGCCCTCCCGGGTCAAAAATTACCCGATGATATTAGACTGTTTTTAGGACATGTAGAAAAAAGAATTAACTTCAAGTCAAGACCAACACATTGATATATCATTTTCATCTTTTTTTCCAGAAATAATGTTCAGTTTTAGTCAAATATACAAAATAGGCCTCATTTACGAGTGGAAAAAAAAGTAATAAAACCTGAATTTTTTATATATATATAGTTATAGTGGAAAAATTATTTATTGATGGGTATGCACAGAGTGGGATATGTAAAGTTTTGGTCAAACTTTTGAAAGCATTGTTAATTTTTGGATGGCAGCTAAAATAATGACAAAATCACACCTGTGGTCTTCCCGGGTCAAAAATGACCCGGTACAAATGAACCGTTTAGAGCCAATATAAACAAAACGTATCCATTTTTTCTTTTTTTTATAACTTCTCAGTCAATTCATAACACATTGAACAACAACACATTTATTCAGTATTTTCAATCACAAGCTGTTGTACGTCAAATATTGTGTGTTTCTGTATGTGTGACTACGTGTGCATGCAAGTGTGCTTGTTGCTCTGTGTGTGTGCATTGTTGTGAGAAGATATGTACCTATGAGTGTGTGTGTGTGTGTGTGTGTGTGTGTGTATGTGAGTGTGTTTGTGTACTTGTTTTGTTGTCGTTACTGCAGAATATTCACCGTCTCCTTGTGTGTGAAGCATCGAGACGGACAATCATGCTGTAAAAGACAGCAGTATGATTTGGGGCTTTAGGTTTTCCTTTTGTCTTACAGCTGTGTCCCGATGTGCAGTGCACAGGGGGGGAACACAAGCGCATGTGTCTCTGTAAAGGCAAACTTAGAGGAGTATCTAGCTCTGTCACTTGATATCAGCAGTGCAGGAGGTATCTCTGGTGTGTGTGCGTGCACATGCTTGTTCAGAGAAATGCCTGTGGGTGTGCACGTGTGACTTTATTGTGCCAGAAATTACAATATTGTGACCATTATGCTCCATTTTGTGTGCCGGGTCCATTTGTGTCCTGGAAGACCACAGGTACTATACATATTCATAAAACACATACACATTTATGAAGAAAGTTCTATAAAGGACGCAGAGGGACACAATCCCGGAAAATTTCACGCAATTCTATGAAAGTTTACCTTCAATAATGATATGACGAAAATGATTGCGGGTCAAAAAGGACCCGTAGACCACAGAATAATCATCATAAGAATTAACCTATTAAAAGAAATGTATAAAGTATAATTGTTTGTTGCATGTGCAATTATAAATTATCAACCACAACACCAAATGTAGAGTAAGGGGCTAAAATGCTATTAATATTTTATTTATTGGATGTTTGTTTATCAATCAATTTCCATGTTTTTCCATGACTGGAAAACTAATCTGTAAATTTGCAGGGTTTCCAGATTTACAGTATCACAACACACAGTAATACTGAAGTGTATCATACAAAAAAGCTGCTCCTTATAACTCCAGAAGCCTGGCAATCATTATATTTTTACATTTCCTACATTATCAAAGAAATGCAGTGACTGTTATGAGTACTTTGCGAACAACAGATATTGCTAAAGATAATCTGGCATATTTGCTGTGGTGCCAGTTTGACTGTTAACAAATACAGGCTAAAAAAAACGTGCATTATTTAGCCATCAAGTTAGACAGTCAGAAGCTACGTCACTAGCTTGTCTGCTAGCCACTGACTCATTAAGGTAGCAAGTCATTGAATCAGCAGATAGTCAGCCTGGCTTTCCCTGAGTCTATTACCTGGACAGCAACCTGGACAGCAACCTGGCTAGCAGCCAGTCGGTCAGCCAACAGGTAAGCTGAAGGGTCAGTTAGTCAGTCAGTAGGTTAATTAGTCAGCAAGCCAACAAGCCAATAAACTAATCAGACAGTTAAACAGCCAGCTACCGAGAGATTCAGTGTTGTCCAACTGGCTTAAATACCCACTGCCGATCCTGCCTGTCCGTCTGTCCATCTTTCTGCCTGCCTGCCTGCCTGTCTGTCTTAAGGCCTACCAACCAGCTTTCTGTAATCAGGCTCTGCTGTGGGGGATGAGGAGAGCGGATTAGAGCGGCTTTGTGCTGAGAGGAACATTTTGTTTCCCCACCACCGGCGTCCATGTTGGCCAACCTGACGCCATGTAATCCTGACAGAGCGGCCCAGACAGACAGAACGAGAGAAAGAGAGACAGGCAGCAGGACTGCGACTGAGTGACAGAGCGACAGGCAGGGAGAGAGAGAGAGAGATCAAGATAGATATATACGATCAGAGAGAGAGTTTAGTAGACAGATAGACACACTGAGGGACATGTACACAGACAGGCAGCTAGAAAGTGAATGAGAGAGAGAGAGAGGATCCCTAAGCTCTGACTGTCACTAGAAGCACGTTTATGTCTCTTTGAAGGAGTCAGTGTGTGAGTACCTGTGTTGTAGCCGTGCTAGCAGCTTCACTATGAGTGTGTTATTTTTTTGGCCTTTTATTGCCTTTATTGATAGAGACAGCTGAAGCTAGACAGGAAAGGGGGGTAGAGA